ACTGTTTGAGATGACATCAGAATCTAAGGGTATGAGGTGTGTCTTACTGTTTGAGATGACATGAGAATCTAAGGGTATGAGGTGTGTCTTACTGTTTGAGATGACATGAGAATCTAAGGGTATGAGGTGTGTATTACTGTTTGAGATGACATGAGAATTTAAGGGTATGAGGTGTGTCTTACTGTTTGAGATGACATGAATAACTCTTCCATCTTATATGAAATAAGATAAATTGTATCTTTTGTTAATCTCAGATTTCATCATTTTGTTGAAATATCTTTCATGCTAATACTTGCAGAACAAAATTATTCAGGAATGATCATTGGGCACTTCTAGGTGGAGCTGGGTGATTTAATCAATTAACTATGAGCAGTTATTAAATCATTTAATCTCACGTAAACTAATCATTTAATCAAAATTATGATTGAATCAAATACACAAAGTTCCACAATTAAATGTACTGTCACCCAAAATAGTGTTTCCAGTATTAATGCTTCCAATTAATCCAACAGTTGATTAATGAGAATTCCTATTATATTAATTTTCATGAAAGTTAGCATTTTCAATTATTTTAATAGTTGATTAATTAAAATTACAATTAGATTTATTGTCATGGTAAAAAGTTTTTTCTTTTTTTGAACTTCTGCCCTGAGAAAAGGCAGTTGTTTAGTAGCACTCGTCAATATTTGTTTGATTTTTTTGAACTCCTGCCTAACGGTAGGGCAACTGGCTGATAGTACTTCCGACCAATATATTCTATTTGTTTGTACGTACCGTTGTTTGAAGAACACTTTACTGATTGATTAATAAAGTTTAATCAATTAATGGGCCATTAATTAATTGACTAGCAAATACCACTCGCTGGCTAGCTCTAATTCTGAGCTAATTAAGATTAACTGTATATTCAGTTGAAGTCTTATGTTTTTTTCTGTAACATCAATCTTTATCACATCATTAAAACATCATTTGAGTTAAATAAGGTAAATGAAGTGTTTTAATCTTCGTTTTTATTTAAAGGGAGGTGTCTGTATGGATTTGAGTAATATGAATAATATCCTTGAAGTACATCCTGAAGACTTTGATGCTTCAGTTGAGGCAGGAGTGACGCGGCTGACCTTAAACAACTACCTCAGAGACACTGGACTGTGGTTTCCTGTTGGTGGGTAGATATTTATACATATAAGGGGGGGAGGATTACATTTATATGAGGGATCTAATTTGTAGTTCCACGAACTAGAATTTGAGACTTTAAATTTTAGAAGTTGAAAACTTTTTTTGTAACAAACACAAGTCAATTGTTTTTAGTACTCCAAATTTGCCATTCTATATCTACGAGACTAAAAGTAGAAATAAACTTTTGTGTGATCTGATGTTTTTTAGACTAAAGTATTTAAGATATTTTAACCAAATTCATTATGGAAAAATAAGTGGAAAAATCACTATTACAGAAAATAATGCAAATACTTTTTTTACACACACAGAAAAGAAGGCCTAACTTCTACCGAAAAGTGCTTGAGTTTTCATACCTCTTTAATAGTGATTAACCAAGTCTGTCATATTATATTCAATATTACCAGATTCTGTGTAAATTTAATAACTGATTTCCTTTGTCATACATTAGCTTGAGGTTTTTTCACAGACTTTTATAAATTCAGCTGTGGGTCTTCCTGTACAGCAAAAAAAGTCTGTAAGTTTTGTTTTCCACTTTTGATTGAGCTTTCAGTTCTTAGAGTTTCTTTTTCTGGAATAAGAATTCCAATGTGATTCTTACTCATGCTTTACATTTTGCCTAATCTTCTGAACTCCCTCAGCATTCATACATTTTGTTTTTACGATTGGTTCTGATAGATTTATAAAATGTTTCTTTCTACTATTCTAACTTTTAAATGTTCAGATCCAGGAGCAGATACATCTCTGGGTAGCATGGCTTCCACAACTACTGTTCTTTATATGTTCACATCCAGGAGCAGATACATCTCTGGGTAGCATGGCTTCCACAACTACTGTTCTTTATATGTTCACATCCAGGAGCAGATACATCTCTGGGTAGCATGGCTTCCACAATTACTGTTCTTTATATGTTCAGATCTAGTTACAGATACAACTTTGGGTGGCATGGCTTCCACAACTACTGTTCTTTATATGTTCAGATCTAGTTGCAGATACAACTTTGGGTGGCATGGCTTCCACAAGTGCTTTAACTATAGTATATTTTCAGATCCAGGTGCAGATGCTTCATTGGGTGGCATGGCTTCTACAACTACTTTAACTATATTATATTTTCAGATCCAGGTGCAGATGCTTCATTGGGTGGCATGGCTTCCACAAGTGCTTTAACTATATTATATTTTCAGATCCAGGTGCAGATGCTTCATTGGGTGGCATGGCTTCCACAACTACTTTAACTATATTATATTTTCAGATC